TTAGACTCCATACCCTACTTCAAGTCAGCTTGGCGGACACTACATCGTGGGTTTCAGCGGCTCCCGCTTGAAAAACGGAGTGCCTGGGGCCTGGGAGAGGTGCTGCATAGCTCATCGGCTAGTTCTGAAACCTGTCTGAGACCTTTGATCCCTCTCAACTTGGCTTGGTTTGTTCAGGCTCAATTAAATGCTCAAGGTGTCGCACTTACCTCTTGTGCCGCTGGTATGATCGGCCCCAGAGGCTTTCCGGGATTCCTGCTGGTTCTTCTGGGGACAGACCATGAGACATCACAGTAAGCACCCCTGCAATCCCGCTATCTGCCTGCGCTGCCATTGGTCCAAGCCTCGAATTCGTAACCTGCATCTGCGGCTTAGGGCGAGTAGGCGAGTGCATTTATCATGGGAAGCTTCTCAAACCTCGAGCCGCAGGCCTCAAGTGCCACAACCCTAAGCTTGCAAACCTCTACCAGACATACCACACGCCTGAACCCAAGTTTCCACAGCCCCGGCCCCCAACACCTGGAACATCGGATGAGAATCTGAAAACCCAACACCTCCTGAAACAAAAGGCTGATCGCGCGTTGCCTTCGGGTGTGGGTCTCCGGGCTACAGCGGCCTTGCATGGCTTACACCGACCGCGATCCTCGCTGGCCGGTGCCTTATGTTGAGGGTATGTGGTTGGGTAATGTCGGAAGTTCAGGTTCCCTGGCTGTACCTTATGCAGCAAGACACAATAAGCGAAGGCAGCATAAGACATGCAGGAATAGTAGTAAGAGTCTTGCTTCGAAGTTGCGGACTTGCGGTCAATGCTGCAGGCGGCCGATTGGACAAGGCCAGTGGCTGAGACTTGACGTCCATGTTTCAAATTCAAGAAGCATCCGGCAAGGCACCATCGTCACGGGGACTGGACTCCAGCTCGCACCGCAAGGAGTTTGGTGAGACCCCGAGCCGTTTCCGAATAGAATCATCCTCAGGCAGAGGATCATGGCTGAAGCAGCACGTTCCATCGACGTCACGAGCAAACCTCGAAACGAAGTGCTTGAGTCTGCAGCGTCAGTGAGCAGCTCTGAGGAAGAAGATCCTTCGCCCCTCCATCCCGGTGTGCAGCGACGAAGACTTCAGGAGACTGTGGGGCTGAGTTGCGTGGGTTGAGCTCTTCATCTAAGGTTCGCGGATTCAGCGACGGTTGGGGGTGGGGAGTGAGGGGGAAGCCAAGTAGTTAGACTGTAAGATCCCAAGATCATACATCTCCTCAGCAGGTGTGCTCATTTCTCCGGAGATGCATCACCCTGCAGGACTTTATCGCCTCCAGGCATAGTTGTCGGGCCAGCTGTGGCCTCAGATCGCAGCCATTCCCCCGACGTATTGATTGCAGCTTCTTCTGGTTGCTTAGTGCTTTCCCTGTACAGTGCAGCCAATGTGGGAAGTCAACACAAGCTGACATGGCCAGTCTAGCTGGGGCATCCATCTAGAAGACCTCTGTTAATGAATGCTTACTATGGCAGGAATGCATCAGCTGACCCTTTCAAAGCGCGAAATCTGAACCCTGCACCCTTCCATCATCTGCAAAGGTGCCGCCAGCCCCTCGATCCGCAGCGGGACGGCGATCTGCAGGTGATTTCAGACTGGCAGCATAATTGCAAGGGTTGCCACGGGTATAGGGGTTCTATGAGGTCTGACCATAAGGCTCCATAGCAGTTTCATGATAAGGCTTCATAAGGATGCTTATTGTAAGGTTCTACATGGGTCCTAGGATCTTTAAGTCGGTCTTCGGTTTGGGGTTGTGATCATCTCCGGAGTCAGGGGCAGTCCTTGAATGGGAACGCCCAGCAACCAGAAGGCAGAGGCCAGAAAGTTCCTGGGCACCCATACAGCTGCAAAGCCGCAGGTGGTGCCGATGTTTCCGACAGCCCTCCCAGCCACCCGTCTGTAGCTCAGCGGCCAAGGGGGCAAAGGATTTCAGGAGTGCACAACTGACCTTTACCAGCAACAGTGATGGTCGTGGAGTCGTGGGACCGTTAAGGCAGGCCTTGGGCCGAAACTGTCCGATGCTTGAGGCCCTCCAGACCTCAAGGAGCCCTTAAGTTGACGACTGAAAGGCCGATTGCTTTGATGTTCAATGAGAAATAGTATCTCTACTAAAACGATAGTACAACACATACTACAGTATGTATGACGATCATATCCTGCAGTATTGCATGCCAACTTGCTCCCAGGGCTCCCCCAGGACGCATCCGGAGCGTCTGCCACTCAGGTTGAGACGGTGGTTGTTTGTTTGGATTCGTTCCTGCGACTTCAATTTGGGCCTTGGTTGAGGGTTGGGGTCGGAGTTATAGCCCAAACAATAAACTCTCAACCCTCATCTGACGAATATTGAATGTTCAGGAAATGTTCGTGAGCCATCGGAAGGTTGGGATACTTTGAGCCTTGGGCATTTTCTGGGGACTACAGGCTTGGGGTTTTCTCAGGGTGACACGTCGGACGGGGTTCTCAAATTTCAGGGCTTCGGACTGGCTTGTATCGTAGCTTCAGAGTGCCCACCTCGGCGATGCTTCGCTCACTTGTGCCGGAATTTCGGTGGTATGAGGCCTCGCAAGCCAAGCAGCGCCAACAACAAAGGTCCCGGGGGTCGGTGGGCGAGGTTGCAAGGGTCTGGATACTGTTTTCGCTTTTCGCGGTGCTGAAGTTTTCTACCTCGTTCCTGACACTCCAAAATTTGCAGCAGCTGGAAGGCCTAGCTAGATCTTCCAAATAGCTTGTTGAAGCGGATCGAGCATGACTCATGGCAAGCAGAAAGGGAGGACACAGGCGTAAAAGCAGGAGGACAGGACGATTAGCGAGTGAGAACAAACTAAGCACATAGACAACAATAGCCAAAAGAGCGGCAACAGATTCGAGGATGCGACAGCTGTCATCATTCAACTCCGCAGGTTCATCTTGGCACCCCCTGAGTACTTGAGCACAGAATATGCGGACTTCATAATGTTACGCGAACCCAAAAAACTGCAGTGCACAACAAGAGGTGGCGCAATAGGAGCAAGAAAGGTGTGAGTAGACACGTAAGTGGAGGATTGTATATAGACTTGGTGGCTATGGACGATAAAGGCTAAAAGAGGAACACTCAGATGTATTCTTAATCATGTTCTTATGCGTCTTAGCATAAGCAAGTACGGGTATCTCTACCCGCAGCCCGGTCATAGCAGTCGATGTCATAGTAGGCATCGATGATGTCGTCGTATTAGTGGCAGTGGCAGGCAACACAACACCAATCCCAGTGTGACTACTAGGACTGCTAGGACTACCTCTGCCGCTGCTGCGACATTGACTGCGACGGCGACTACTACTACCACTACTACTGCTGCTGATGCTGCTGCTGCCACTACTACTGCTACCAGCATTTCTGCAATCTCTGCTCTCTAAACCACATCCTGTTTGCATGCGTAGCAACTCCTTGTAGTCCATACATGTTGTTGTCTCCCAAGGCTTATTCTGATTGTGAGATCAAGTCTCTTACAGTACTGATCCCCCACGGCATCCTCCTTGATAGGCTCCTTACAGGAGCCCTTACGGCTATCCTTCAGCCCTACTCTACTCCTTAAGGCCCTCATTAATCCTTTCCAGAAGGAGTTCTCTCAGAGCGCCAGGCTGGCAAGCAAAAACTCCAAAGCAGACCCAGTCTCAGGAGGCCCGGCCGAAGCCCTAAACCCTGAGCCCTGAACCCTGAACCCCAAGCCTGAATATGAAGGCTGGAAGGCCTAAGTGGGCTTCCGGACCCTGGAGGTTTTGGGATACAGTTTTGGTTGTCACAGTTGCATGGAGTTTCAAGGTCTTTTATGTGCGGCCGGTTGTGTCAGGGTTTTGCGTTTCTGTCGAGAGTTCGGTTTTCTTAGTTTGTTTGTGAAGGCCTTCTTATCAGGACTTTCAGTGCAGCAACCGCAGCATGTCGGGAGGTATCGGCTACATTTGGAGGAGTCGGTGTTTGACAGGATGTGCGGTTTCTGATGGGCTGAAGTTTAAGCAGTCGTACACTTCCGGGATACTCTCATCCCCAAACCGTCAGCCCCGCTCCCTTAACCCGAAGCCACCCATGAAGAGATCGCATGTGAGGTGATGCCCCGACGCAACAAGTCTCGAGCCGCGAGATGCCGAAGAAGCTTCCTGGTTGCATTGCGACTTGGACCCATGAACCTCCGAAGGCTTCCGAGACCCAACTACGAAGACACTGCGCTTGAGCCATGGCCAAACCCGATCTTCCAACGAGTCGAGCCTTACACCCCGAGGCCAGGTTCTCAAAAGAGCGCCGCGACGAAGTCCCCAGAGGTGTGGTGTTTGGGTATCCAGAACGGCACTGTCTGGCCTTGGGCAGGATAGGACAGACTGTGCCATTGCTGGTGCGACGATGATGATCTTGATGATGATGACCATGCCGATGATGACGATGCTTCTGCTGCTTGCTAGCCCTGGCGATCTTGGTCACTGAGATTATGCAGGTGATGTGTACGGGCGACATGGATGAGGGCGTGGTTGCGCTGGTTCTGTTGGCGATGGTCGCGGTATTGGTGGTCAGTTGGTGCTGGTGCTGGAGGCAGCCGTAACAGTCGGTGGTGTTGCCATGCTAGAACCATTGAGTGGAGTTTTGACACAGCAGTGCTACACTCTGCGGTTTTTAACTCTCAAGCAATCTGTCTAGAGTAATTCGATGTGGGAAAAGGCAATCGTTGCTTTGGCGGTTCTCTTGAGCAAGTCCTTCGAAACTGTGCCACAACCACTGCCCCTTTCCCATTGCTGTGCTTGCGACTGTCACTGCCATTGGGAGACCGAACCTGAAGTTCGAGAGCAACGCGACAGGTTCGATTTCAGCTGGATCTGCTTGTTTGCAGGTAGTCATCTGCTTTCCATCGGAGGGTCGCTGTGGTGGGCCTCCCGACGCCGCAAGACACCGGACCGGGCAAAGCTGGTGATTGGGGCCAGCCCACGGCGGAAGGGCCGAGGTGTCCTAGATGATGAAACCCCTGTATAAGTTCAAGGAGACAGTTGATAATGCATTCATCGAGGACAAAGTGCTCGAAGCTTGGCGTGATCATGAGGCCAGCTACGGGGGGCCGCCGGAGACAGAGGGAAAGACAATGGTTTTCCCGGATGGTACTACTAAGCCGCTGAAGGACTTAGGGCCGAGGCGAAGGCTCCGCGGGAAAGGCCGTACAGGAGCCTTAGGCGCTGGGGCATCCACGCCGGCCACTCCGAGGAGGGTTGAGCCGCCAGATGGTGAGACAGATCATAGAGGCGAGCGATTGGTGTGGATGCAGGTTTACAGCAGCCTTGGCGGGGAGTTAGGCATCGAAGTCCACCCTCCCCCGGACACTGCTAGCTGGACCGTCGGCGGCTACAAGTATGTGCTGTTCATGGATGGCTTGCAAGGTGAGAGCATTGTCCTGGCCAAGCAGATCGCTCGGGAAAGCCTAGAAGCGGCGAGGAGGCTGCTGGAGCCGGGGAGTGACAGGAGGGAGGAGACACGAGATGTTCGGGTCCTCCCCGTCTTGTTTGACTCGGCAGAAGAACGATGGAGAACCATTGCGGAGGCGCTCCCAGAGAGTGATGAAATCGAGTACGATGATTTTCCGTTGACTGGCCCAAGGACAGTGATGAGGGACCTTCGCCAGCTGCGGAGGGCCGGCTTGGATTTTGTCCAGCACCACGAGAGTTGGATTAAAAAATCTGGTGTAAGAAGCACAGACAGATCAGTGCACGAACACGCCAGCATTTGTCGTGCTTTGCAGTGGCTGACCTGCTATGACCAGGTAAATCTTCCGGCCCTTGCGGGAGCTGAGGCTCTCAACCGTCGGCGCGCCCTCATCGAGTTCGCACATCATGGAAGACCCGATGCTCCTTCTTACGAGGGAGCCGAGGATATATTGGGAGTTCGCGAGTCCAGCGATGGGGCGATGATCGACCCCGCCTTGACTTCCTTTGCGGTTAAGCAGGCCGCTAGCAAAGCCGAGGTGTTGAAGCAGCAGCGCTTGGCAGCGGAGGAGAAGAAGCATCGGAGAAACCAGTCCTACATTCAAGATGAAGATGGCGAGAGACAGACTGCAACAAAGGCAAAAGCCAAGGCAAAGGGGGGCGGAAAAGGCTCCCCCGAAAATCCCTAAGCCTGTACAGGTCCCCCGAAGTGACGGTGCCGTTGAGGGGGACATGGGGTATTTTGGTGGCACCGACAGTTTTTGCAACAGCGCTCTATCTCGGCACGGTGATCTTTTTCCACTTTCGCTGCCTTTGTGTGAGGGCTATGAGGGAGAATGCTCGAAACTGCGAGCGAGGAGGTCGCAGCAGAGAGTAGGCTTCCGACGGTTTTCCTTTGATCGGGCGCGGGCCACTGTCAGGAGTTTGAACCAGCTGGCAGGTTTCGCGGACGAGAGGATGTGGCCGGATCGGCCGCTGAACAGGGCACAAGAGCAGGCCATGGGACATGTTCTTCGGTGTCATATGCAGCGGCCTCGACCGGTGGAGTGCGAGAGTGACCAAGAAGCGCTTCGGCAGCTTCTGGCGAAACGGGCTGGTTATGGTGACAGCCCTGGAGTCTTGACTAGTTTGGTGCTCGAGAGACTCTCTTTGCCTAGGGGGCAAGGAAAGCCAGTAGGGCTGGCGTCCGTCTTGCCAGCCGTTGAAGCCGAAAGAGTGAAAGATTTTGAGCGTGATATGCTTTTATCTCCTGAAGAGAGGGCTGCAGTTTTGGAGCGTGGGCTTGAAGGTGAGTGTCACTTGGACCCAGTGTTGGAGCATGATCCTGTGCTGTATCACCGCTTCATTTCTGAGCTTTTCTCTTGCAACCTTATCCATTTTACCGTCAATCCTCGCGTACAGATTGGTGCCTTTGTCGTCGCAAAGAAGAACGGCAAACAGAGATTGATCATTGATGCTAGAAGGGCAAATCGCTTGTTTCGTCGTCCTCCTTGCACCCTTTTGGGATCGGCCGAGACCTGGGGCCGCCTGGAGGCCGATTCTGATCAGACTGTGTTTGTAGCGCAGGAGGACGTAAAGGACTACTTTTACCGTTTAGGCATCAGCAAGGAACTTGGAGAGTTCTTCAGTTTGCCTGAGATCGACCCGCACTTGTTCAAACAGGTGCATGGCTCACTCCCCGCTGAACTGGCCGAGGTGGTTGATCAGCATGCTTGTCCGATATATCCTTGTATGGCCGTATTGCCCATGGGGTTCAGTTGGGCTTTTCATCTGGCGCACCAGGCACACGTGCACATCGCAAGTTCGGCGATTCCCCACGCGGGCATCATCAAGGATCGCACGCCCGTGCCACAGCTTTCATCTGGTGTTAGCGGTAAGTCCACGGCCATGCTGATCTATGCAGACAACAACAATCACGTTGGGGTCAACAAGGCACGTGTGCAACGCGACCAAGACACAGTGATGGAGGCGTTGCACGCGCGGGGCCTGGACACGCACGACATCACCGAAGCGGCAAGCCTTTCCGAGAGTTTGGGGGTCAGAATTGACGGTCTCAACGGCAAGGTTCAGCCGACTGCCAAACGAGATTGGAGGCTTGATCGAGCTTTGTCGGCATGCTGCAGTGGCGTACGTTTGTCCGGCCAGGAGCTCCAGGTGATCATTGGCCACATCACGGTGAGAAGCTTATTGCACCGAGGGCTCATGGGGATCATCCGGTATGCGTATGACGGCGTATGCTTTCATTGAGCAGAATTACAATCGCCGAACCAAGCTTTGGGGGAGTGTTGTGCAAGAGCTATACTTATTCAGGCATCTTATGGCCTTGGGAGTCGGCAGCTTCAAACAGAGGTGGGCCGGCACACAGTACTGCACGGATGCTTGTTTATCCGGCTATGCTGTGATGGCCACTGAGCAAGGCGAGGATCTTTCTCGAGAACTGGGGCGCCATGATGAACGGTGGCGTTTTCGAGTCGGTGACGCTAGGACCGTGGCACCCCGCCTTCAAGCGCTCAGCACAGACGGGGTTTTCAGCGATCCCAGGACGGTCAAGCCTGACATCGACGGTGAAGTGGAGGGCCCGATGGAGCAGGACCTCAGTTTTCCGAATGTGGAAAAAGGGTGCATGGACCCAAGCAGATGGCACAGGTTGTGGCGCACACCCGTTTACCACAAGGAGCCGGTGCACTTGATTGAGGCTCGTAGTATTCTTGGTGCAGTGAAACATATTGTGCGAGACAGTCGATTCCATCATCGAAGATTTGTCATCCTCAATGACAACATGTCGGTCGTGCTTGCTATGCAGAAGGGAAGATGTGGCTCGTTTAGTTTGTTGCGTATTCTGAGAAGAGTCAGTGCCCATTCACTTGCAAGTGGTTGCCGCTTTTATGTAAGATGGGTACCTTCGGAGTGGAACGTTGCAGACAAGGATAGCAGACATTTCGAACCTCATGCTACAAAGAAGGCTGCGCGAGATCCTGATGTGAATATTTTCTCTGGGAACACTTTAGCAGATTTTTCCGAGAGCCATGATAGCCGGGCGTGGGCAGAAGCGCAAAGTGGAGGTCTTCACGAAGAGCGCAGCGCAGGCTGCGAATACACGGATGCGCGGAGCTGGCCGGGTGCCCGAGCGGGAAGTTTTGGTGAAGGATCGGGAGCCGTCACCCCGAAGGGGGCGAGATCCGCAAAGTGGTGTCCGGGCGGAGTTGAGGGCTCTTTTGTCGTCGCACAAGAAACGGAGGATGAAAGCAAACCAGAGGCGAAAGAAGTTCGAGACAAGATTGAGAGTGACAAGGGGAGAACGCGGCATCCTGGAGCAGGCGAGCGTGAGAGAGCCTCAGCGCAAAGACTACTTGAACAAGTTGGAGGGTTTCTACAGCTTCGTGGTGTACAACGAGCTCGAGATCCACAACGAGCAAAAGCTAGACGAAGCGCTGTGCGACTACGGCGACCACCTCTACCTCGACGGCTATGGCAGCAATTACGGGGAGAAGCTCATGGCGGCGCTGGAGTTCGAGAGGCCGGAGTTTGCCAGGAGTGGCGTTCTGGCGGTCCCACGCTTCAAGCGGACGCTGAAGGGTTGGAGACGCCTAGCCCCCACGCAGACGAGGATGCCCATGCTGGAGTTCTTGAAGAGCGCAATCAGCGGAGTTATGCTACGAATGAACCTGCAGTCGATGGCCCTCTACAACGAAGCGACGTTCTCAACGTATGCGAGGCCAGGCGAGATGCTGAGGGTGCGTGCCATGGACGTGGTCATGCCGAATCGGGAGTTCGACCAGGCCGTGATAGTGTTGGGACCACTCGAACGTGGCGAGAGCTCCAAAACAGGGGTCTACGACGAGGTTCTGATTCTGGACGACAAGCGCGCCTCCTACCTGCCGGAGTTGCTCCACGACTTGGCTCAGGCACAGATGCGGAAGCATGGGGCCGATGCGCCGCTGTGGGATTTCGGGCCAAAGGAGTACTTGAAGGCATGGAGGAGTTGTGTTCAAGCACTTGGCATCGATGGGCTTGCAACGAGCCCGTACCAGAACAGGCATGGAGGTGCCAGCCGCGACAGTTTGCAGAGACTGAGAAGCGTGGCCGAGATCAAACGCCGAGGGAGGTGGGCTTCCGAAAGCAGTGCCCGCATCTACGACAAGCCGGGCAGGATGCAACAGCTGATCAATCAGTACGAGGGGAAGCTTCGTCAATTTGGCGACCAAGTCCTTCGGTTGTGCTTCCTCGTTGGGTGAAGGTCCCCGTTTTCTGAGCCTTTTTGGAGGAGAAGGCGAGTGTGCAAAATGCATAGCGGCCCTCGGAGGAGTTGCTGCTGTTATTGACATAGCGCATCACTCCGCCAACGACCTCAGCAGGCAAAAAGCTTGGAACGAAGTTTTACACGCAGTGCAGTTTTTCTCTGTCGTTGGCATCGATATCCCCTGCAACACTTGGAGCCATGCCAGGCGTGGAAAGCGAGGGTCAAATATGCCGGGGCCTTTGCGAAAATCCACTCCTGCAGAAATCATGGGATCTCCTGATCTAAGTGTCCGGGACTTTGGCAAAGTCAAGGCAGCGAATGAAGCTTTGATCGGCGCTTGCAAATTGATTCGTAAATGCATGACATTGGGCATTCCAGGTTATTTAGAAAACCCGCGAAGCAGCATGATTTGGAAGGCCCCGTTGTTGCAGAAAATTATGAAAAGACGTGGAGTGCATCTTGTAAACGCGCACATGTGTCAATATGGCACGCAGTGGCGCAAGGCCACACGTCTTCTTGTTTGGGGACGGCCTCAGTTTACAATGGCTACGTGCTCAGGAAAAGGGATCTGCAGCAGAACTTCGCGTCCGCATTTGCAACTGTCCGGTATACAAGGCAACATTTTCGCCACAAAACAAGCTCAGGTCTACCCTAGACGTTTCGCGGCTGATCTGATGCGGCACCTCATTGGCATCAGCCCCTCCCTCCCGCCCTAGAGCCATTCTGGTCATGGGAGTGGGAATGAAGAGGAGATGTGGACATGCATATCTGTTGATGCCAGCTTGAACAATTCCTGGCATCACAAAGATCTCCTGAGCATCATGCTCACCGAAGTCAGACATCTCCTTTACTGCAGAGCGATTCGCTGAGGGCGAACACGTGAAAAAGTGAGATCTGCTTTCGTCTAGGGAGGCACTGCAGAGTCATAGAACCATTGAGTGGAGTTTTGACACAGCAGTGCTACGCTCTGCGGTTTTTAACTCTCAAGCAATCTGTCTACCCTCCCGCCACTCCCCAAGGGAATGAAGAGGAGATGTGGACATGCATATCTGTTGATGCCAGCTTGAACAATTCCTGGCATCACAAAGATCTCCTGAGCATCATGCTCACCGAAGTCAGACATCTCCTTTACTGCAGAGCGATTCGCTGAGGGCGAACACGTGAAAGCTTTCGTCTAGGGAGGCACTGCGGAGTCATGAACATGCTGCTTCTGATGACGTCGGCTGAACACGGTGAGGATGACGAGGGCGTTAGCGATGGCGACAGCAGGGCCGTATAATGTTGATAGTAACAATGAGCATGGTGATTCTTTCCACATGTTGTTGATGGCATGTGATCAGTTTTGGCAATGGTCGCAGAATTGTACCGTTTCTCTGGCTTCCTTTCTGGTGCAGTTGAAGCCGGGTCAGAAACGTGTTTATAGGTGCTGTGACCAGCTTTACTACTGCGTTTACTATGATTCCGAGTTCCATTGTGTCGTTACTGCTTTGATGCTCGATTTGTGCTTGCCCCTAGCACGCTCGATATCATTGTCACAACGTTGTTGCACTTGGTTTCATCAGCCCTCGCTGTTCATCGCTGTCTTCTTGTAGGTATGAACATGATGATGATCCTTATCAGGGGCTTCTGTCATCCCTAACATTGAAGCCATTCACATCAGTGTCATTGTGTTTGTTCTTTTCCTTGTCACCTCAGGCGTCCACATTTGTTCATCACATCCTGGCCTACCCCCCCCCCACCCCATATCACAGCAATAGTTGAATAGTTGGAACTTGGTGTCCGATGTCCCTCTTCCTCTGTTGATTTCCTGTTTTTGTGTGCCTCCATACTTGTTTTACTGTTGCTGTTGTTGCTCGGGCTGTCGTAGTTGCGGTTGTTGCTAATCATCGGTCGGGCCTTCAACTTCCATGTTTGGGGTCTATGCAAAGGTCCATGCAAGGAGCCCATGCCAAATGTATCCATAGCAGCAGCAGCAGCAGCAGCAGCAGCTGTGCCAAAATCGCACAGACCAGACTGTTGTCAACTGCAAGCCGCAGAAGTGTACTGCGAAAGAGCCATGGTATGTGAAGCTCTAAATCACCAAGTACAAAGTACTTCACCACCAGCGACCCTCTTTTCCCTGGAGGCTTTGGTACCACACTGGGCACCAGGCCCGATCCGCAGGGGTGCAGCTGACCATCAGAGTTGCTTTCACTTTCATCACAAGCCCGGCTCCGGTCCAAGAAGCTGAAGCTCTGCTTTTGTTTGGATGAAGGTCTTAGCGTTGTCTTCAAGTAATCACTTGGTGGCCTCTTCCTGGTCTCTTGCAGACCACTCCCCCACAACGTGTTTCTTAACAGCCTCAGTCTCGGAACACCGAAACCCCGACATGGCGGCTATACCTGCCACTACAGTTCGGTTGTGTAGCTACTATTTCCACAAGTGTTTTATGTCTCATTTGATGTAGAAGGTGATGCTTATGACGGTGATGATGATCGTCGATGGTGGCCATCATGATATAGCTGTTTTACTGTACCATCACCATCATCATCGTTACCATCATCGTCGTCCTCCTCCTCGTCACCATCAACTTCAACATCAGCATCAGCATCACTCAATCATCATCGTCATAATCGCCAGCAGCAGCCAACATCATCATCATCGTCATAATCATCATTACCATCATCGCCATCATCCACCATCATCACCGCCATCATCATCATCATCATCATCATAATCCTCTCCCGCACCTTCAAAACTTCCAGCCCGGAGTTCGGACATGACCTGCCCAGCTGCAGGACTGGCGGAAGCGAGCGCGTGTTTTGGACTCAGGGGAGTGTTTCAATGGTTCAAGTGAGTCGTGAAGTCTAGAATCGTGACAGTACGGGTCTAGTGAGCCTAGTAAGTTGAGGGCGTGGTTTCAGGGTTGGACGTCGCTGGTCAACTATGGCCTCCCGCGAGAAATCTCTTGTTGACGTCCAGTGTCTGATAAGGGCATCCAACTTCTTGGAGTCATCTGCGAAATCATCAACAACTGTCAGGCGGCTCGTGGCAGAAGGCATCCGAATGTGTGCCCTCTCTTTCAAGACTAGGCTTTTTTTGAAAAGAAAACCTGGTGTTGTGGCCTTCTGAACACCGCAGCAACCCCATATGTACATACGGTGTGCGTCGTTGGCCGGTGACGGGGCTGCAGAGCAGACACCTGATGTGAGACAAGCTACACGTAGCGGTCGTCTCAGGGTTGCTTTCAGGATGGGCCCTTTCTGGACTTCTACGAAGGGGGGTGGGCCCTGATGCTGTGGTTTGAAGATCAAGGGGGCCCTTCCCATGCATGGGGCTCATCTTGTACTGGGGGACTTGGACTTGCCTTGTCCTGCTACTACTATCCTTGATTTCCTGTGGCACCAAACTAAAAAACTTCAACGCCATCCACGGGATCTCTGGTGGCCGGACACTGGGTAAAAGCCTGCCTCCCAAGGCCTGGAAGCTGGCATCGGTGAGCTCTTGGCTTCAGCGCTGGCCTTGACATGTCTTGAGCAATTTTATGTTCCGAGTGTGGCTGCTCGTATCATCGCTGCTGAATCACCGTCGTTGTTTGTTGATCTAACTGTGGCTGCATGCATGGTGGTGATGTTCGCAGTCATGGTGGGAGCAAGCCGCCCCAAAGAGAGCAGCACGAGGAATGAAGTTCACTCTTACATAAAACGCTTAAGGCCCTTGGAGTGATTTGCATGCTGTGTCTCAGGTGTTGTACTCTCTTCTATAGCTCTTGCCTCTAACAGCAAGCCGGTTTGCTTCCTTCTGAACTTCTCTTGCCCCTGTTGAATGCATCGCTCGTTTCTCTCAAAGTGTCGAGTCCTTTTCGAGTGATCTTCTCCTCTTTGAGAAAGTCTGTGCGGACTTGCTGGTGGTTTGCATCCTCGGTTCCAAGCTCTCTAGTCTTTCAACTTGCAAGCTCTGAAGAGTCAGTAGTAGATACGAGAAAATGGGCTATCCGCAGGACAAGGATCCAATTGGCCCGTAGACAGAGTTGGAGAAAGAGGAGCACGCCGCTAGAAAGGGACTGGAACAGTTGAGCAAGGAGCGATCTGCTTCACAGGGGCAAGGGGAAGCTCATACGTGAGCAAGCTGTGCAGGGAAAGAGAAGCGCGGGCAACCCGCTCGAAAGGGACAAGAAAATTTGAAGCGATCGCTTCAGCAGGGACCAGCGGGAGCCAACCGCTCCGAAAGAAGGGGCAACACACCATTCGACACCGACTCGGAAACTGGAGAATCCGGGGGGCAAGCAGTTCGAAAGGGATGGAGAAGTTGAGCAGAGGAGCAAGTCACGGGAGCAAATCGTTTGAAGGGGATTAGAGTTTAGAAAACTCAGAAAAGAGGATGTAGCTCGGAAAGTGAATAGAGGATTTGAGAGTAAGAAGAGCAAGCCCTTCGAAAGCGACTAATCATTTTAAATGCAAGAACAAACTGTCCGAAACGACTCAGTGAATTTGTACGAATTTGTTCAGGGGAGCGAACCACTCGCAAACCATCAGACAGTTCAGGAAGCCTTAGACGGTAGGAGCAGGCGAATGGAAAGGGAGTTGGGAGAACAATTTTCGGGAGACTTCGTGAAAGACTGGTGATGGTGGGGGTATCGATGGCAGTACCAGGTTCAGTACCATAATAAATACCCTGTTTGCTTCCTCATATACCTTCGTGCCACCAGAGCATACAGGTTCCCCTAACATGGCCACGAAATCTATGACGTGGCGACGAAACTTTCTGTGCTCAGGTGTTTGTCGGCCGACCGTCGGTGCCCCAGGTGGCAATCGCGAGATGGTAGTGGATGCGCTTTCTGTCAAGTCGCCACTCTGCAAGAGGCACGCAGTTATACTTACAGATATGGTCGCGGCGACAGTTCGGTCAAGTTGCAACCCAAGATCATTCGAGCCTTTCGTGTCCTGCCGCTGAAGGCCTGTAGTTGCCTTCGACTACGACCCCAGGCGCGTGGGATCTCGGGTTCGGGGTACCATAGATCATAGATCCAGCCGGGGGTTCAAGCAGCTTGGGGTTGAGGCTCGAGCTTTTGCACTTTTTCCAGTGTCACTTGTTAGGATGTGCGATTCGAGGACTTGCAAGTGTCTGAATATGCCATCCAATCCCCTTTTGACAGCAGCTCCCAAGACAAGCTTGAAGATAGCGTGCCCCCAGTTGACGGTTTTGTATGGCCGAAGTATCTGCTCTACATCTCAGCCTCATTTCCCTCTACCTCCAAACTGCGGGGCCTGGTTGGCCTTTGACCTCGAGCAGGTGCAAAGGCGGCTCTCGCGATGCAAGGAGGCGGGTGTAGGGCTGTGCGGAGAGGAGGTGAACGGTGATACCTACAGTCTACAGCCCTGAACCTGACGATCTTGAACTCCAGACCGAAGCCTAGAGTTCATGTCTACTGGCCGAACTCTCAACCCCAAAACCGGTAGAATTGTGAAGCGCCGTGCAACATACGGCTTGTCGCGAAGCAACATCCTTGGGACGTTATGGGCGGAAACCCATGGGGGATACCGCACATTCATTGACTGCGTCGGCGGTTGGAAACCCTGAAGCCCAGACAGACGATGAGCCGCCCTTCTTTGCCTCCTTCAATAATCTGAAATCTCAGCCTAAGAGAACTCAACTTATGGGAGGATTCTCAACGAGACGGACAAGGCTGCTCTGTCGCTCAGCCGGCTCCCAGAGACCCTTGGCGCGACGTTCTCCACCTTCGCGGTTACTTGCTTCGGGGTTTCAGTTTGGGACTTCGGGTTTCGGATTCTGGGTTGGAGGACCCGAAACCTTGATTTTGAAGGAGGATGATCCCAAAGCCCTCGACCCGGAGTCCGAAACTCAACACTGGGACTAGGAAGAATCCCAGAACTTCAACCTGAGGATGCACTTCTGCCTGCAGACCACCCGGGATGTCCACGAGCCCGGCTCTCAAGTTGATTCAGGTCATCATCAACTTCGCTTGCGCACTTTGCGAATTGCACAAGTTATGAGTTGCGCATTTAAGACGGATCCTGGGTGCACATGTCCGATTAGTTTCACCGCCGTCACGCTATTAGGTCACCAGCGCAAGTCAAAATTTTGCCTCCGTAGTTCCAGCCACGTTGATACATACAGTTTATCCAGCATATATGTATGTGTATGTATATATGACTCGGTGTGTGTATATGTATATATTCATATTCACACATACATACATATATATATATATATATGTATGTATGTAAATACATATTCATATATATATATATATATATATATATATATGTTTACATATGTGTGTATGCGTGCAGGTATGTATGCACAGTTATATGTGTGCATATGTTTACATGTACACTGCAATATGTAGAATTCGGGGTGGGGAGGATCGGACGAGAATGCAGAAGGAAGCTTGAACATGCTCGGTACCTCATACAGTAATGTGTGTATCCGAATTAACCAGACGTGTTTGATTCATGCAGAGGGAAAGGGACATCTTCTCCCTGAGCGTGCACACTGGATTGCAATGAACCCACCAAACGTATTCCGCTTGCTGTCGTTTTTTGGCCAGTTCCCTATCCGTATCAATAGTTAGTGTAAACGCTTTTGGTCGCTTTTCGTTGCCGGGGCGATGCGACTACGATGATTTTGTACTCCTGCGCCACTTGAGCCGTCGAGCTTTTGAAATCTCTTGAAGGTACAACGCGGTCGTCAACACATTCAAGTGCCCTGCCAAGTCCTTCCGAGAGTGCAGTCATGTGCTTAGGACTGTGGCTCGGTGATGCTTTGACTTGGTTTGGAAGAGTGCCACTTCACCTACTCTTCTCGTCTGCATGCAGCTGCCAGGATGGCTGGTTGGACCCGTGTCCCAGTTGGCTCGCCGAAGTTTGCCATCTACTGGGGCTCGGTGCTCGGCAGCTCTGGGGTGCGACAAACAGTTACGGCACAGATAGCCACGAAAGGCCAATGTATAGCAAGTATAGTAGGTGGTATTGCCAGGGCTGTGTTGGTTGCCAGAGACAGCTCCAGTTTATGATGCAGTTTCGTCCCTGTCCTCCATCCAATTCAAGAGCCTACTCTACAACAGGTCCACATCCCACGCCGGAGATGTCGGCGCCTAAGGCGTAAACCCAAAACACCAAATCCCAAAGAATCCCAGCATCCTAACTCCCAAGGCTGCGGAGCTTCAACCCTTTCCAGAGGGCAAACCACTTTCCGAACTCCTGGCAGTTGGGGCGGAAGGCAGGGCATGGTTCAGGTTCGAGGGTGCGCGCTTGATGCCACAGTCCATCTATCTCCGTCTGTGCATCTTTCCTTCTCTTACACGCATGCCTCCCCTCTTCGCTCGCGCGCTCTCTCTGTCGCTCTCTCTCTCTCTCTCTCTCTCTCTCTCTCTCTCTCTCTCTCTCTCTCTCTTTCTCTCTTCAGACAGACAGCCAGATGAAATGAACATTGGACAAGTAGAAGGACATATTGCTATTCGGAAGACCGAAACTTGAGCCCCAACCTCTCCAACCCTCTGATTTCAAGCCTTGCTACAGTAGAGGCTTGGGAAAACAAGGGTTGCGGGCATTCACAAGACTGCTTGTAACAACAGTGAGTGTCCGACCTAGCTCGCACCGCTGAGACTTTGGGTTTAGGGTTTAGGGAAGACTTAAGTCCAGAACGCCGGAATCCATTTCCAGAGCCTATTCTACACCTTAACCCGCAAAGCAGTCTTTAAGCCTTCAATTGCACTGTCTGTCAGGACCTTCTGGGCAAGAACATCCACAGGCGGTTCGTAGTTCGCTGGGCAGCCTTGCAACACACGAGTAGAATCTAGCTTATCTAGTCCACTGTGCAGAGACGAGGCAGAGCTCTTTGGGAAAGCTTGATCGAACTTGAGAGGTTGCGAAGCCAGAGTTCTAAACCACCGAATCTGTTCAGGGTGTATCATTCAATATGGGTCCCCGGCTCCTCGGCTCAACCTTCAAGTCTTGGCCGCTGTGGTTCGGTTCCTGAAACTCAGCGAAGACCTCTGTCAAGAGCGGCTAGTGCCGCGGGACAGGATGAAGCGACAGTTCCCAAAAGACTACAACATCATGTGCGGCGCTGAGATCCGGCTTCGGAGGATCAGAGGAACCTACTTTAAAGCAACCGATGCATTGCTTCCTGTGTGCTTGTTGCGCATCGTTAGTTGAACCCAGAGATGGCTTTGCAATATGTTCTGCAAACCTCCGAAGATTCCGAAGCCATCCCGCTTCTGACACCAAGCCTCGAAGCATCCATGGAGTCCCAAGCCTTGCATCTTAGGAACTCTAGGACCTTAATCTTGATATCCAGAACCATAAGCCGATTCAGCCCTAGACGCTAAACCCTCAACCTCCCCCCTTTCCCTCCCTCAACAAAAAAGGAACCCGAAAGTTAAGCCACTAACCTCTCAACCCAGAGCCTTGAGCCCTCCCTGTCTTGAGCTCTACAAGACCCGAGGCCATTGAGCTTCAGTCTCCCTGAAGACAGCCAAGCTTGGAGCCAGGCACACGGGTTTTCAGTGATGCAAAAGAAGTTCGGGTTGCGGATTGGCCTGTTCAGGGTAGCCTAGGACCTAACCTAGGAAGTCAGGATCAGGTTTGGAAGCCAAGACATGGGTCTGGCACCTGCAGCACGTCCTTCTGGGAGTGCATAGGAGGTGTTTCTTTCGCAAGTTCTTCGGCTGGTTTGCCAAGTCGCGTTTCAGTGGCCACGGCTACAAAAGGCTTGGATTTCCAGGCCTCCTGGAGTGTTCTTTGTGCGTTTTTGGCTCAGGATTTCGGCCAGCTAGTCGTCGTGATGCAATCAGCGGAACCTTGCATCATCATCGAACCCGCTAAAGAGATCCGAGGTTGTCATACGCTCTGTCAATCGAGGCAATGGCTAGCTTTGCGGCTTACTGTGTCTTCATCCAAGCAGCCGAACACAGCTCGTGCGATGTACCGTACAGATGGCAGGCGAGAGATCAGAATCCGGAGGCCTGAGCTTGTTGGGTCGCCTGGGGTCCGGGATCTAGACGCCATCATGCGAAAGCACCGAAAGCCGTGAGTGAGAAATCGGAGAGAGAAGAGAAGCCTGAAGCTTGAATCGATTCGCATGCCGTGCTTCCCTGTGCTTCCCTCGACCCAGTCGAAGCTCCCGCCCGCGTTGCAATTGCCATGGTGAAGAGTCTAGACCTGCAGGCTCTCTGGATTTGGAAGCCTGCCAATCTCAGCGCCCCGAAAGCAAGAAGATGGGTTTGACTGTGCGCTGCTGCGTAGAGGGGACTCAGAGCTGAGGTGTTTGTTGCATCAGGTTTCCAGGTTTTGGAGTGTCTCGCTCCTGCTGATGCTTTCGTGTTTTGGGCGGGAGCTTGTGGCAGGACTTGCTTCAACAGGGCTTGAAGGAGTTGAGGGCCGTCCGCTTGCATGGCTACTGTACCCCAAGCTGAACTGAACCGCCATGCAATTCCCAAGGCTCTACTAGGTCAGGCAGGATTTTGATTACTGGCCGTGGTTCGGGAAGGTAGCCGCGGAGATGCCGTACCCCGCCCGCCCACACACAAATCAGAGAGTGGAGTGAGTGGAGTCATTTACGCAATGACGCGTTTAGCTCCGGTGCTAAGCACTAAGAAGAAGAGAAACGCCTGGAAGAGTGGCCCCAAGTTCGGATGGCTCGCGCAGAAAAGACTTCAAGAGAAATGGACACCAGGAGCTGATTCTGTGAAGAGTGTGCGAAGCAAGCTCAGGCTGTGGCAAGGGCATTCGCAGGGCCCCCAGATGCTAATGAAGCCATGATGAAGGGAATAGGGCGTCCACTTCACATTTTCTTTCGTTTTTGAATTGGGGATGATAAAAAGGGGAAGGTCGGTGAAGAGAAGCACCAAGTCTTGAGCTGTTGTTCGAGGCCTCTTTGCGTCCTCCATCTCCCCTGGAGCTGAGAAGAAGATCCTGCAGAGGTACCTTTGCGGCTTTCGGATAGCATGGCCATGGGCCTTGGTTGGCGTGAATACCGAGGGCCTGGGTTCAATGAGTAGATTGCTAACCAAGCGGCGACCCCCCCCAATCAAAAGCTCCGTGCGGCTAAGAGGGGAAGTGATCGACTTGAATGGGGAAGTGATCGACTTGAATTAGCCTGGGGCATACCTTGGTCCCCAGAAGAGTTCATACATCGAGAGGTCCAAGCGGAACATCCTAAGAGGTTTAGTTCGCTGCGGCCTTCCGCGCTAAGCCACAGCATAGATGTAAATGCTAAAACGACACCAGCCGATGGGGCCGGCATCAGAGCCGATTGGCTTGTATAGACAGCTACTTCTCCGATGTCTGCAGTCACAGAGGAAAGAACATTCGTGCTTGAGCTTATAGGGCGTTCAGATGCATGACGATTCCATCAAGATGTACATTGCACGCTTAGTCACAGGGAAGAACCTTTACACGTTAGTGCTTTGCTTGACCGAAAGTGCCGTCCCAACCCCGGTTGACAGGTCGGGTGTTGTTCAGCGCTACGTGGATGGGCCGTTCGGCTCTCATCCTCTTCGAAATGTTGGAGAACCCTGCAAGGGGTCGCTGGGGTTTGTCATCTCCCGTAGGCGGTGGCGGTAACATCTGAAATCGCCTCAAGAACCCTGGGTCGGCTCGACATCCGGAGAGAGATCATAGTAGCAAAAGCCACGAGAGCCCGGAGTTCATTGAAGCTGAAGATCAGCCTCGTCGCACACTGTACGGAAGCCTTCCACTTCCAGGCTTCGAGCAGAAGCTCTCGATGACTAAACCATGTGGTAAGACTTTTTAAGACTTGCGAGTACGACTTCACCCAGCTTTTGTTCTGAAGACTCTAGACTTTGCTATGTTATACTCTTACTATTGCTTCAGCCTGAAGTAGTGGGCAACAAACTGCGAGCAATGACAGATAATATGCAATATATTATAGGTAACACAGAACCTATAGTGTGTAGAAGAAAGTAGCAGCTGGGCAAAAGCTGGAAACCTTTGCAAAGCATCAGAGGGAGGAGGTAAGAGTCCCTCGCATGAGGTTACTGATCAACGGTTTCAAGTTTGACCTGCGCCTCTACGTGGTGGCCGCCCTGATGCAATCAGCATGCAGTGCCCAGATGCAGGGTAGGCAGGGTCGGGTCAATTTGAGTCAGGCGCCCTCGCATACCAAGGCAGTAGAGGACCCCTCCCCTCCCCCCCCCCCCGGTATTGCAAAGTGAGAAGCATCTGCAAAGTGGCTTCCGATTTCGCGTTTAGCAGCGAAAGCCGCTGACCCGGCTTTCTTCTCACATCTCAAGCCTGAAGCTGTGGCAAGCATGTAGGACGTCTCGTCCAGGTAACCTCTTTCGATCCCCTGAAGGCCGGACCGCAGGGCACAGGAGATCTGTCTAGGGTTTTGGAGCCGGTCAGGACCGTTTAGTTCAAGGTGGACTTCATCGCCCATGTCTCTACTAGGAGAAGACGTAGTGCGCATTGTATCGACAGATTTTTTACTTACGGACTGAAGAAGGCCACCTTCTAATCGAAATGGAGTGCAGGAGGAAGCAAGTTCCGACGGTTGAGGATTAGAATGCTCGTTGCTTGCACGGAATCGTTTACAAGATAGCCTTGTCGATGGTAATCCTTGCTACCCGAATGTTCCGTAGTTCCTTTCTTAAAGACATTCCACGCATTCCGCATTCTTGGTGACAAAAGCGAGTGCCGCTGCTTGGGAACGAACAAGATTTCTTGTCGGAAAATTGGGTATGACCTCTGCATGTCAGTGCATGTACCCCAAACCGCCGTGTGCCCCAGCCCAACTCTGAGAATTAAAACCACTGTATTTGACAGTTATAAGATTTGCCGCTGAGATTTTGTCGGCCTGCAAAGGGTTTTTTCGCTTCCGGACAACACCGAAAACCCGGGAAAGCTGATTAAAACCTCTGCCGGTGGGGGGGGGTTCGGACCCCGGTCTCTTTTCCACCTGTGCCAACACCGTGCCAACACCAAAGCCGCGCGACCACGTTGGTGAGGAGTCGACGGCAAAACGAACTCGGCAAGGCGGAAAAAAAACAAAACGACCCTTAGGCAGGAAAGAGACTCTGTGCAGGCCGGGAGCAAGTGACGCCCACCGTACGCTCCTCTTTGTGGGATTCTCTCGACTCTGGGCTCTAGTCCCTTTCACACGATTCGAACTTTCACACGGCTTGCCTCAGTTCTCAGATTCTCCCTGTCGAACGATTTGCTCATACCACTCAGGTTCTCCAATCCCTTCCGAGCGCTTTGCCCCTCTTACTTAGATTCTCTAGTCGTTTTCGACTAGTTCGCTCCTTCATTGTTGGATTCTCTAGTTCCTTACGATCGGTTCGCTCCTCCTTCAGATTTTCCAGTTCCTTCGAGCAGTTCACTCCTCTCTCCCAGGTTTTCGAGTCCCCTTCGTGCGGAGAATCCCATCCTTCTCGGGCTGTTCGCTCCTTCTTGTCAGATTCCCAGATTCTCCGATCCTATTCGAGCGGCTTGCTCTTCTTTCCCAGTTCGTGTTGTGAGATTCTATAATTCCCTTCGAACCGTTTGCTCCTCTTCCTCATCCAGTCCCCTGGTGTTTTCCGAGCGGTTCGCTCGTTTTCTCAGATTCTCTGGTCCCGCTGTGTCTTTCGAGCGGTTCGCTCCTCTTCCTCAGATTCTTCTTTCACAGATTCTCTAGTCTTTTTCCGAGCAGTTCGCTCCGGTATTAGATTCTCGAGTTTGGGTTGGCCGACAGCACGGTCTTTTGCGCCTGCTCCAGTGGCAAAACCGCGTGACAGCAATGGTGAGGAGTTGATGGCTTTTTGCCCAGCGTGCGGGCGAGGCGGGTTGGAAAAAGATCCAAAACTACAACCAGGGGTAAAGAGACCACAGACAACTCGGGAAAAGACCCAGAACGACCATCGGGCAGGAAAGAGACCCAAAACCCAAAACAGGCAGGAAAAACCCAAGCCCGTGTCGAATGAGAGGTCTACATCAACGAGGAGGGACTTGTGCGCCTGGCTACGCAGAAGTATCGGTGTTCGGCCGACAGTGCCTGGCTCAGGACGCAGATCTCAGGGCTTTCCGAAAAGCCTTTCTCGTCCAAACTCGGAGTTTTCGGTGCATCAGTTCACTGCATCTGGAGAGTTCAGCCGCACATTCGCGAAATTTGAGCCCGCATGTGTCGACCACCAAGTAGGGATTGCGCTGGATTCTGGTTCCTGCAACAAAATCCATCTTCAGGTTGCTTTCTTGGAAATGCAAACCCATTATCAGCCACGAAATACTGTAGCAATGGTTGTATTACCTCGGTTCGATCCGTTTGCGGTTTGGCTACTTGTAACATGCTTGAACTCCGATACCGCGATGCATCGTCGACTTATGCGATGCAGTTTCCTGCGATGGGGTTGCCGGATCCGTATCCCTATGTCGCCCGTGGTTCGGCACGTCTCAAACGCAACAGAACTCTGAGGCCCGAATGCCCAGGCTCAAACCATAAACATGCAGCTCCCCCAACTTCCGATGGTTGGTCCTGGGACCCCCCTCAGTCTGACTCGCTGCTCAGGGCGAAGTTGCAAAGAGGTGTAGTCTGTCCATCTGGGCATTTCGAAGACTTCGAAGAGGAGACGAAAGGAACCGCAAAGTGAATTTGAGGTCTTCTAGTTTCCCAAGGCCGAAAAGTCCTAAATCCTGCCGTTTCTGAGGTCTGCAAGAGAGGACCATGCACCTTACAAATTACTCGGTGAACAAGCACGCAGCTAGTTGGGGCCCTTCATCCTGGGCGGGCAACGATTGGGAATTCGGGCTTGGGGTTTTGCGATTTGATGTAGAGTCTTCATAATGAGATCAGGGTTTTGGGATAAGTGAAATACATGTGCATCTTATAAGGACCATGAAGGAGGATTTTGCTGACCTCTTTTGTGGTCTTTGTTGTGATGCTTTGTGTCGTATTCCGGGCTTGCTGCGTGTCAAAGTTTCGGGGTGTTGCGGTCATTTAGGAGAACTGAGCTGCGGCTGGCGTCGGTGTTGGCGTTGAAAGTCATGAGGTAGTCGCCTCTGATTGGGGGTTGAGGCTTAAACCTTTAAGGCTGCCGAAGCTTGCCTAGCCAGCATGCTCCGCACACAAAGATTTGCTTGTGCCCAGGCTACAAGCAAAATCTGGATGGCCAAGATGCGGAAGATGCTGATGCTGTGACTCCGGGGGAGGCCTTCCGGAATTTCCCTTACAGTGATTCCTGTGATTCCTTCCCCTATCCCTATACTAACGAACTCTTGCCTATCCACACCTGTGACAGGGAGCCGAGGCCGAAGAAGAGGCCTCCGAAAGCCTGAAAGCTGAGGCCGGAGGGGAGGTTGGAGCCAGGGAGTGGGGAGTGGCACACCGTTTTTTTTGCCGCAGGGAGGCGGGGAGATTTTAGACAAGAAAGGAAATTCAGAGCAAAATTCCACCGTTGGCAGTGCAAATCCCTCGATTAGAGAACCTTGGACCAAGGAGCAGAGCGCCGGAAAGGGACTGTAGAGACTATGAGAGTCAAGAGCCATCACCATACATGAAGAAGAGGCAACCGCTCGAAAGGGACCAGAGATAGAAAGCTCCAGAGAGCGGAAGAATTCAGAGAACGTCAGAAAGATGACCAAAGTCCGCCTCAGGCGCAGCTTGAGAATCCATGAATGAATCACAACTGCTTGTGCTGCATGCTGTTGACTTCATTGTATTCTGGCGGTGGTTGTGCGGAGACCAACCTGGTTGAAAGTTGCCGGACGGCTGTCTCGCTCTTGATCCCTCAGCAAGCGTGAACTTACCTCGAAACTTCGAGTGGTTCCGAGAGGCCCCGCGGGGTGGCGATTCCACCGAAGCGGAGGCCTTGACTTGTCTGCCACTCTCGTCGTGGATGCTGGGTGCATTGATGCTTTAGTTAGATTGGTTGTCTTGGTCCGAGTCCGGATCGTCCCGGTCGTCGGACGCTTAAGCTTCACCCTCCCTCTCGTGGCTTCTTCCGCTCGCCAGGAGAGCACTGGATCTTCGAAGTGGTCCTTGAGGCCGCAGATCGAGGTTGTAAGGTTCATCGTCTTGTAACTGTCGATACTTATGAATCAGCGCCTCAAGTTTTTCGTTTTTGGGTCACCGAGAGCCCTGAAGAGGAGGTCAACCGCAACCAATGCCAGAAGAGTTCAGAGTTTATCTCACGCCGATGTTTGTATAGTTGGCCCTTATAAGTCCATCCCGGAAACAGGGTCTTCCCGACCAGAGGACCTACCCAGCCCAGGCAACTCGAGGAGTATTTCAAGACTCAGGGTCTGCTCCCGAGTCGGGATTCAGGGTCTTGTGCGCGATGACCCAACGGCTTACAAATTCCTACCCTCCTAGCTCGTCGTTCGGTCTGTCTGCGTGTTTGTGCACGTGTAAAGATCGGGCATGTGTGTGAACACACATGCGGCTGTTTAGACTCTAAAGGTGTATGCACCTCGGTGCATCCACCATGTATCCGATGGCCAATTGCGCAAACTATACCGTGCAAATATGTGCACCAAGCAAAACCTGGAGATTGAAGTCTAAGGCCTTGACTACGGATTGGCGATGTCGCGAATCGAGGATGTCATTATCAAGACTCTCATCGCTGTGGAGCGGCGACCTCGGCCGTCGGCTTGAGAATCAGGGCTTTAGAATGAGGGGCCCTTTTTTGAGGGGGGAACCCGGTAGGCAAAAAGAGTAGATGGGTTGAATGCTTGTAGACGGTATGAATCGAAAGCCCTGCTAATACCGATGAATGGCAAGGGGTACAGTGTGATGTTGAACAGCATTACATCTTCTGATGGTAATGCAACTAGTTCTCGCTTCAAAATTTATTTGATGTCTAACTATTGGTCAGTATTGAATTGAATAGCTGTATTGCTATGCCATCTTAACGAACGTCACATGTGTTTCGGATTTATGCAATGCTATGGTAAGCTTGCTCTTCTTTAGAATCACCAGGCAAACCACTGTTGCATATTAAAGCGTGACAATATCACAGTATATTATATTCAACAATATTCGTCACGGCTAACTGTTCAGGCAACTAATGTGAAAGACGGCTGCGTAGTTGAAATTCGACAACAAGACCAACCGTATGTAACTGATATCGCACCGGTGGTAGGAAACTTTTCAGCGCAATGCAAATAACATTTGAGCGACCCCTAGTCCGATACCTGAGTCATGACCGCATCATGAGGTTGCACATTTCATGTGTTATGTCTCCGCCCTTAGGTAGTAGACGATGGCTTGCTCCTTTTAAAGTTTCCTTTATCTCGTGTGTACTGGCATAAGCGATACTCAACATCCCCCAGAATGAAAAACACTTAACTATCATGTCTTTAGGGTCCGCATCTTCGAAGACAATAAACCAAGTTCGTCTTGTTTAAATAGGAAATGAACTGACATGTATCAGTATTTGTCAGTTTTGTACCATATCGGCGAGATGGTTAGTAGGACAGGTCCTGCTTCTGCGACTTGAGACTTGATTGAGTAGTCATCGATTTGGCTTTGGATTACGTCGTACATATTGCGGTTCAACACATACAGCACGTATTGACGATGTACCGGTTGTCTGGTTGTTGTGAGCGTATGTACAGTGACACAGTGTCCGAGCATTCGCAACGTGATACATGCACCACTGACTATTTGTCAAGCATCAACTAAAGTTTTTACCCACGTACTAACATCATGGGGTATACAGCTTACTTGTTGGTTGCGTACTCAAGTTGAATATGTATATATATATATATAGACATACACATACATGTACACATGATGCCGATGTTTATCAACAAAATAGCGTACATGATTCTGCTACTTGGGAATCTTTAGACAATCGCTGGGATGTGGGCAGGTATTGGCAAGAGAGCCCAACAACGAAAGCAAACACGAAAAAGCGAAACACGAAAGAAACTTCAACAACAAACATACAAAACAGTTCTCCAGGAGACATGCCTACCAGATTTGTGTGTGTTTGTGTGTGTTTTTTTGTTGTGTCTTTGCATTGTTTTGTTGGTTTTCTTGGTTTTCGGGTTTTAGCACGAGAGCCTACCGCTTGAAGCTCTTATCCGGGGCTAGGCTAGGAAGAGGTTGTTTTGGAACTAACCGCGTGTTTTAAGACAGTGGCCTGTTGGATGCAAGGGCTTTAAAGCAGAGACTCGGGGGCCTCCCTGGTTTCTTCCTCTGTAGAATTACGGCACAGGTTAGGCCGCAGGGATATTGGTTCAGGTTTCAGGGTGGGGTTTCGGTTTAGGCGTTCATGCGTTTAAGGTGCCAGGATGCAATGATTATGGCAACGCATCCGGATTCGACGATTCGGGAGGTTCAAGGGTTTTGTTCCGCGGATTTCGGGTTCAAAGGTTAGGGTTTTGCACCAGCTAAGCCTCGAGCGTCAAGAGCTCGCCGTTAGATTTCTGTTGGTTTCCGACAGTGCAAGCCACCATGTCTGGCTGGCAAGGCCGCAGATTGTGAACACCTGGCACCAGGCTCGCTCTTCCCAAGCCCTGAGCCACGTATTCCATAATTGATCGCCAGCGTTTCAGGGGGCGAACTTCTCCGTCGCAAGTTCTGGCCCCATCCAGCAGGCAATGGCTCGCAGGGCTTTCTTGGGGCTTCGGACTTCGAGGGTCGTTTTCGGGGATTCAGGGCGGTGTGGGGATCGGGTTCTGCTGCAACGGCAGGTGGCGTTGATTCAGGGTTTAGGGCTTCGATTGGCCCTGCAATGTGCGGGGCCACCCAACTTGCATGTCCATGCAGGGAAACTTGTAGGACGGAATATACGGGGATTGTACAGGCGTCTTGCCGGACCAACGACATCCGAAAATGCTCTGAAAGAAGTCCAGTTTTGGGGCGGAGCTTCGTGAGACGTCGCGCCGCCAGATTGGCCCACACCAGACCTGCTTTGAGATCTACGGTCTCAGCCTGAGAACTTCAGAGGTTCAGATCCAAGATGTGAAGAAAATACAATGATAATAACGATATGTTTTGCACGACTCGTGCACAGCAACGCAATCAGAGTGTAGATAATGATAAGAATCATCAAGCTTTTGCATGGGTCTGCGGGTTTCGTGATAAGGCTCTTGGCTTGCTTCAACGGCTGCCATGCGGGAGGGCAAGGGGCCCATTGGCCAAGCCTAGTTTCCTGGGGTCCCCGCCACAGGTCGAACAGTCCCATTGGCAGAAACACCACCTCTGTGCTTCTTCGACAGGGTGAACGTAAGTACGAACAACATGCCACCGAGTGTCTGCAGCTTCTCTGTCTTTATGTAGACATGCACCCAGGACAGTTTTTTTGCGTTTCAGGAGATGTCAACTGTCAACTAAGTATGATACACTTGTGTGGGTTGGTGACCAATGTGCCAAAACACCTTTCATATAGCGTAACTGACTGATTCAACAAATCAACAAGACAAACAATCAAACTACTGCACAACGATGCAGCGCCGGAGAGCCATGTCCATCACAACTATGCAAACGGTGCGTGTCGACCATACTTTCCGAAAGGGTTTCAGGGACGCTTGGATTGTCTCTCTGCAGAGGCGAGACAGCTGTCCCGAAGCCACAGCTCGATACCCCTGAACCACAAGTCTCCAGCAGCCACCAGAGCCTTGCGAGGTTTCGATATCCTGTTGGATACTGAACTGCAGCCGAGCCGGCGAAGCTTATCAACGGTTTCTGGTTTACGACCTCGCAGCGCATTCGGGTGAGTTTCGGTGTTTGCGGCTGCCGGCTTAGGGCTTCGGGGCTTCGGGATCCGGATGGTGCAAAGTAGTGGGACCCGGGACCGAGGTAGATGTAAAGGATCGAAATGCTTCATTGAGAGGGGCAGGAGTTCTCGGGCTGAAGTGGCGGCAGCTTAACCGAACATCATCATCGTCATCGTTACCGGAGCCGCAAGAATCAAGACAACAGTCGATTAAGTTAAGTGTTCTTTGCTCACTTCGCCACTGCTTGTGGCATTGAGCTGTACTTTGGCACCTGTGCTCGATTCACCTGTGCCCCTCGGAATACTTCTTCCCGGGTATCCACAAGTCATTTCACAAGGCCCTGTGAAGTAGGCCTACAACCCAGAGAGAGACTGCCCAACTACCCCCGAGCAAAGCCATCGTTACAGAAAGGTCTCAATTCCGTGAGCACGTGAGCAGCCGCGCAGCCGCGCTCGCAGTAGCATCGACAAGCCGAGAGCAAGCCCCGAGTGGGCCCCGATACAGCCAGCTCGTTCAGATCGCCGGTTTTGTTCCCAACGTCACGGCGGTTTTCCATGTGCATCATCGGTCACCCCATCCACCGAACCCAGGAAGCATGGGGTTGCCCTGCAAGAAGCTCTCAAGTCGATGGAAGGAACTGTAGATTGCTTCTTCAGGCCGTGGCTGCTGGAGGTGAACGTTTTCCCGCCTGCTGGCTCGTCTTTGGAGGGGCTTTCGGCCGTGAGCGGTGCTGTGGGAGTTGAGCATTTCAGGCTTCTGCTGAGTTGTAGGAGTTCACGAAGACGGCTCCCAGGTCCTTCTCCTCTTCTTCGCCCTACGATAAGAGGATCAAGACCCAACTCGTGGCTGATGTGCCCGTGCCCTTGGGAAACTTGAGTTTCCTTGAACGGAAGAGGAAGCCTATGCTGCCTGCCGAGGTTCACCTTGCTCGGTATACCACCCTACAGCCACGATGCCGTAGAAAATGCATGCAAGGACTTCCGGTGGCTTGGAGTTGTTCGTCGTAGAGCGATCAGGTTTTTGGCTCCTGTTGTGAGGGCGAGATTCCCACTTTTGCGTGTGCCCATGGAGTGGAGGAGGAGCAAGCGAAACGTTTGCAAGGTCAAGATCTTATGGGTTTCTGAACAAGCGCATCAGCTATGCAGTGGCCTGTGGCGGTCTCTGAGGCCAGTCAAAATCATTGTCCATCACCAGGTCGCACACAGCCGGGCCTCCGTCACACACTCGCCGATCCCCCCGCAAGCACCGGTTCGTTGCAGAGGTCTCAACGATTAAATCGGCATCCCTGAAGAGTTTGGGGGAGGCTGGTGCTGCTGGAGTTTTGTTCCAGTCGCAAGTCCTACTCAGCTGCGCAGGCTGAGCGGCGACTGATTCTCGAGTCTCACGAGGAAAACATGCGAAGCGGGCACCTGACTCGAATCTATCCTCGTCAGGCCAGCACCCAGCTTGCAAGTCGTTCCCCTAAACAGAGAAACTGCATCCGGCAGGCTTCCGGCGCATATTCTCAGTTCTTCGCGTCTCAGAGGAGCTCGACTGCTGCACCTGTAGAATGGAGTGTATCTACATTTCCTGGGCAGGTACACAAACCTCGTCTTGGAGCGATGGATTCAGTTGGGTGGAGAGCGCCTGGGGTGAAGAGGTTTGTATGATCTTTGTAGGTCACTGCAGGTGTTATTGTTGCGGTTTGCTGTTCCGGTTGATGATGATGACGGCAAATAGCCATGACAGAAGGAGGACGACTTCAGGTTGTGGTCAAAGATGATGGGGAGACGATGCACATGCTGGGATGATACTGCTGCTGCTGCTGCTGCTGCTGCTGCTGCTGCTGATGATGGGTTGCCACTTGTACACATGCAGCAAGTCTGATGACACAATGCTGGTCCTGATGACGATATTGTTGGGAGGAGGAGGAGGAGGATGAGGAGGAGGAGGATGAGGACAAGGAAGAGAAACGTCAAGGGCAGTGGGGCGACGATGCTGAATATTCTGAGGATGATGCTGCTCATGATGATGGTGCAGCATGCTTGCATCAATCTCAAAGATTCTTTTCGTCGGTCTCAGTATCCCTGATACTCGTACGCAACTGACCACTTTTGGACCTTTGGCCCTGTACCGAGGCAGTCTTTCGAATTCGACGCTTGTGACCAAATCCCCATCGGTGTTGCACTCAGCCGAGAGGGCTCACTCCCGAGTGGCCGCCGCACAGATGCATTGTGGGGTTCTGACTCGTCAGGTGCTTCATTTGGGCACAGCGAGTGCCCATCCGTGGAGCAGAAAAGAAGACTTGCTCCGCTTGGCTTGCCTGGTTTGAATATGGGATCACCAACGGTCCAGTAGTTGAAGCACCTGGACGAAGCACTTGATGTGTGCCACTTCCCGGTGCGGCGTGTGTCCAATCCGGGGTGAAATCCGGGGATCGCAAGAGCAATAATGGAAATAATGATCATGGCACGAGTACTGATCATAGTCGTGGTAACAATAGCAATGCTATTAGCTCAGTAATGATATGGATAGTAACAGTAATAAAATAAGAGTACTCCTGCAAATATGACAACAACATTAATCATATAAATCGCAACAACTGTGCTCACACTGTTTCGCGTAAAAGCATTAAGGCATATGACACGGTATCAATGATAGCAATCACACCAATGCCAACAAAACAACAATAAAGCCACCAATATCAATCACAAGAAAAGCAATCGAATAAAATCACAATATCATTTGCAACAGTGGTACAAGAAAGTTAGTGTGGCCACCGAAAAAATCATAAGCCTTGAGCATAATGAATAGCTAAAGCAATCCGGGTGGCAATGATAGTAGATAGCAAGACTTGGAAACCTGAACCTAAGACCCACTTGTATTCAGGTTTCGGGCAGATGGTCTCTGTAGGGCCTGATACACTTTGTTACACAGTTCGGCCGAACCTTACTCCGGAAATCCTAAGTCAAGCCAGTCTCCCCTTGCTCGGCTTTGCAAAGCTGAACGAGTGCAGGGATTCGAGTATGCGGAAGAAGCAGAGCAGTAAAACCCCATGATCCTCAAAACCCTGAACCGCCCGAACCAATAGCTGCAAGCTGGTTGCTGTGCTGCCGTGCGATATCATACCATCTGGGTTCTTACATGTCTTTTCAAGTTTGCTCTTGCTATTGTGCTTCACCACATGCCAGTCCATCTTTCTGCCTTCTTGCGTGCAGCATGTGACTCGCGTGTGTTTGGCTCTCTATTCTAGATGTGGGATTGGGCTTGGCCAGTTGCCGCCAGCCCGTTCCTCAGCCTGGACAAACAAGTGACAGGTATACCATCAACTTTGAATGCTTTCGCCACGTCATTTTGAACATGCTAAGGACACCATGACGGCAGCCGAAGCGAAATTCTACAGGGATGGCTCCTCCCCTACACAACATGAGACTGGGTTCATCTCCAGAGACGTCTTCTGGGGTTGATCAGCTCGGCGAGGTTATACACACCGAACGGTGCTGTATGACAGCATGCAGGATGCCAAGGCGCTTTCGCTTGGTGTGACTTTGCACATTGACACTCGCACGAAATTTGCACTCTTTGCTGTGACACGTGCCAGATGGCAGCCAAACCCAAAGCACAACACAACTTACAAAGTAGTGTCGGGCAGGCCGAATATGGCGGCGCACTGAACTTCAGCGCATATCGCCAGGGCCGTGACAGACAGGCGCCGATCTTTGTTCCCAGCTAGATTTCTCTTGCTTCATCCTTTGCCTTATTTTTGGGTGGACAGGTATGATGACGTGAATGTCTCAAAGTGCCAGAGTTTTTTTGCCATGTCATGAAATACATCTTTATAGAATTCGGGTGGCGGTCCTTCCTATACGGCTCATATGTTCGTCTGGCCCTGACGCTGGGCTTGACAGTGGGTGTGATCACTTCGGACAGCCATGAAGTTCGATGCTTACGACTCATGTGACTTGCGACGATGCACGTGACAATGATTTGACCGCGATGAGGGTGAGGATAGTGATGGCTGTGTCACGATGGTCGCGGTCACGACGTCGATGATAATGATGGCCATGGTTGCGCTGATGATGCTGTTGGTGATGACGTGAATCATCTGGGCCTCTTCTGGTGCTGTTGTTCAGACTAGCATTTTCCTGTGCTTCGTGTCATCATCGTCTGCCTTCAATGACGTGTGCCAGTACCTGGGCGTCAATGGGAAGAACTACTATGCGAAACCGTGGGGCAACGACTCCTCCAATATCCAGGCACGGGAGCGTTAGGGACAGATCTCGCAGCCCTGAACTGAGACTGAAGAATCAAGGGTGATCCCAGCAAAGCCTTGAGCCCGAGAGGGGCCTCCTTTTGACGAAGGCGGTGATTAATGGACCATCCTACTGGAAGTCGGGCGCCTCAGAAACCCAGACTCGGCGGCTCAACCTTCGCCAAACCCTGTCGAGTCAGATACAATAGTCATTCAATAGTCGTTGTAGCATTGAAGACAACTACACGACGACTGCTACGACTAGTCTGACCAAGCAAGAGTGAAAGTGTCCGTGGGCTGGAACGAGCCGCTGCTGGGCACTCTGTCAGAGGCGTGTGTACTATCGCGAGAACATTGCGGCGCGGTTCGCACGTGAAGATGCGGAGGCAAGGATCCAGGACAGGGTTTTTTTGCTCTAGGAGAAATTACTGGCCCATTGTGGGGGGCTGAGACAGCGACGCCTCAAACAGGATTGCTGAACACTCCCTTCAGTTGCTGCACATCATGCTCCCATTCTCGAAGCCAGACCTCAATATGCGCAACAATGCGCGGAAGAGCATGGTGTGCCGGACCCCGTTTTACTGTTGGCAGGCAGCCGAACGCAAGGCTCAGGCTGAGATAGCAGAGGCACGGATGGAGTTCCAATCCAAGCTTGGAGTCGAAGCTCACCTCTCCCCCGCTGAGCCTCTGATCCTTCAGTCGAAAACCCAAAGCCCGCGAAGCTTCAGAGTCTCGACACCCGCAACACCGAACCCTCTTGCCTGCTACGCCTGCCACTCCTCACTAGACCCGAACCCTAAAAGCCAAGCCCAGAGCCACCGCAGAGAAAAGCAAAGCTTAATGCCCTCCACCCAAATCACTCAAGCCTCGCTCTCAAGCCTTCAACAGCTTTTACTTATGAGGTCTTGTAGTCACCAGTTTCCCGAGTTAGCGGTTGGGCTTTCAACGGATGTAATGGGTGCCCAGGCTCCAGCAACACAAGACGTGCCATGGATGAATGGCAGTCCTCATGCTACTGGTGCCAAGACACTCAACATATCGTTGTTGCATGTGTAGCAAGAGCCTCAGGGGCAGAGTAGCAACAGCAGTATCAACAATAAGGTCGAACATCCAATAACAGCGAATTAGTTGGTGTAACCGCAGAATCAGCCACCACCACCGTTGAATCAATATTTTCCCACAGAAAGCAAGCCGACGCACCGCAGACTCAAGCCCTCCACCCTAACGAATTCAAAACTCGAGTGCCTCAGCCCCTCTTCGTCGGTCCTTAAGCTCGAAATCCGAAGCTTTAGAGCACCGATTGCCAAAGGCCCTTTCGAACGGGGCAGGTGAGGCGCCACCGAGGCAGGAAGCAACACTGTAATGCTTAAGCACCGAATGGGCATAGGAAGTGGAGATTATTAGTGTTGGTTACATGTTTTGCATGGACATGATGATTGTCGATTTTAGTGATGATAGGGGGGGTCGGGGTGATGATGGTCATCATCCCAGTGGCATGGAGAGGCGATCGCAGTCGGAAAGCGCCCTGCAGAAGCCGAAGACCCTCGACGTGACGTGGCTGCAGTTGCCCGGTCACCGAATCTTATAAATCATTTTCGGAGTATACCAACCCTGAACACCAAACCCAAAAGCCGAGACCGAAACCCTGAACCAAACCAGAAAACTCCCTGGCCTTCACAGACAGTCATTATGCCGAGCAGCATGGAGACTTCAGCCTGTTTGCCTGAAGTGTCATGTGTGCGGACACTCTCAACGAATTTACCCAAGCCGTGCGCAGATCATTCATATTATTTAATTACACGTGTGCACGTATGTACACCCTATGCATAACGTATGCATGCATATAGGTAGAAATAAAAAAGAGAGAGAGATATATATATATATATATAGAGATAGAGAGAGAGAGAGAGAGAGAGAGAGAGAGAGAGATAGATAGAGAGAGAGAGAGAGAGAGAGAGAGAGAGAATGAGAGCAACAACTTTGGCAAAGGCGCACAACCTCTTGTTCGCTTGGACCTCAGCCATATGGGGTCAGCCGATCCTGCTTGTGGAGAACGAGGTGAACAGCCATGAGGCAGATGCAGGGGGAGCGCCCCTTCCTCATGGAGCGGAGACACCTGGCTCTCCTTCAAATGCCACTACGCAAGCCTTCAGGGCGGCAAGCCCTCCCCGAGAGCGACCTCGCAGACGTGAACCAGGAGACCTTCGACGCCACTCGTCCCACAGAAGGCGACGCTTGCATGCGCCTTTTTCATGGCACGCCGGAGCAAGAAGATGAAGGCGGAGAACAAAGTGATGCGGACGGTCCACCATGGTGAGAACGGGAAAGTCGGACCCGTGACCATGAGCTTTTCCAACTTTTCCTTGCCCTAGCTGGCGTACTAGTTACCCGCATGGTTCCGGTTTTAGTGTTCCAGTGCTGCTCTATGTGTTGCTGCCCTCGTACTGAGCCGGCTAGAAAGGGCAAAGGAGGAAAGGATCTCAAAACCATCTTTCTTCTGGTGGGGCCCGACTCTGCGCACTCGACCCTCTTAGGCCCCCTGCCTAGGACCCTTTGTCATGCTGAGCTTTGTCATGTTAAACCTTGGAGAGGGCCATGACGGAACCCCAGCCACACGGGGGCTCACCCCTTTGCCCTAGACCAGTCGTTGTCCCTGCTTATTGTCATTACCGCTACACTGATGCGCTTTGGGTACTGGGAGTGAGTCCTGATCCAGTCTCACCCGCCTTTCGACCAAGGGGGCGCCCTTGAAGCAAACCTGCTGTGTTTCGTAGTACCTCTTTCGGGCCCAGTACCGCACTAAGTAGCAAGACCTGGCGTATTGTGAACCTGCAAAGCTTTTCTTGTTGCATACTGTTTCAGTTTTGTTGACCTTGTGAGGCCAGGCTTAGATAGCGGAAGCCCGAATTCGCCCAAAGAGGGAAACAGCTAGGTTCATAGTTTTCTTTGTCCGAAACTTACAATGCCTGGCGTACTGTGACCTTGCAATACTTTACCTAGTTCTATTTTGTCCTGATTTCTCATGTGCTGTTGACCTAGTGAGGCCAGGCTTAGGTAGCGAAGGAGCATGCCTTGCATTGGGGCCAGGGGAGACGTCCTTCAACAGGTCAGACCACATGCTTCTTGCTTCATGGTCATATTTAATTCTGCTCCTAGTCTGAACCTGACCTGAAACCTCGCTTTGACCTTCCCTCGTAAACCGCGATGCTACTGGGAATAACCCCGGCTCAGCATCTCCGACTGTGACATGCAGCTTCGCTTTGTTTGAGTTGACCAGATATTCTGATGGCTTTTCGGAGTGCAGTTGCTGAGGGCAGAGCCCGGTCCTTTTTCGACGATCGAGAGCCGTGGTCAGAGGATTGCCTGTAATCCCCTCCGCAACAGTCGGGGGCGCATGCATGAGCGCGCGGCGTAGGGGGTCAAACCTCTATACCATAGCCTTGGCGAAAGAAAAGAGAATGAGAGAATGAGAGAGAGAGAGAGAGAGAGAGAGAGAGACAGAGACACACACACACACACACACACGTACATATGTATGCCTGCATGCATGGATGGGAGGATGGGTGGTGCACGGGTGCACGGGTGGATGGGTGGATGGGTGGATGGGTGGATGGGTGGATGGGTGGATGGGTGGATGGGTGGATGGGTGGATGGGTGGATGGGTGGATAGGTGGATGGGTGGATGGGTGGATGGGTGGATGGGTGGATAGCTGGATGGGTGGATGGGTGGATGGGTGGATGGGTGGATGGGTGGATAGCTGGATGGATGGATGGGTGGATGGGTGGATGGGTCGGATTGATGGATTGATGTATTGATTGATGGATGGATGGATGTGTGTATATACTGTGTACATATATATATATATATGATGCAGGGCTGCCACACCCGGATCCCCTTCGTCCCCAAGCCTTTCTCCTAAATCTCAGGTTCAGGATGGTGTGGGAGTTTGGGATTGGGGGCAGTGCCTGCAGATTGTACTTTATTATTTCATGTCATTGGCGGGTTCCCTCCAAAATAGCACCGAATCATCCGAATCATTTTGATTCGGTCCCGGCGCTGGATCCAAGATCCAAGATTGCCCAGAAGTTTTGCGCGGGCAATCTTGGATCCGACCCTCATCCGAATCATCCGAATCATTTCCGAATCATTTTGATTCGGGCCCGGGCCCGGATCCAAGATTCAAGATTCAAGATTGCCCAGGGGTCTTGCCAAGGAATCTTGGATCCGACCCTTCATCCGAATCATTTCCGAATCATGTTGATTCGGTCCCGGCGTTGGATCCAAGATCCAAGATTCAAGATTGCCCAGGGGTCTTGCCTGGGCATCTTGGATCCGACACACCCATTGGATCCAAGATTCCTTGGCGAGACCCGTGGGCAATCTTGAATCTTGGATCTTGGACCCAGCGCCGGGACCGAATCAAAATGATTCGGATGATTCGGATGAAGGGCCGGATCCAAGATTCCTTTGCAAGACCCCTGGGCAGTCTTGAATCTTGAATCTTGGATCCGGGCCCGAATCAAAATGATTCGGAAATGATTCGGATGATTCGGTTTCCCTCCTTCCTACTCGGCGTGTGTATTGTCATGGTAGTTATAACATCTGGTTTGTCATGAAGTATGCCAGTCACTATTCAGTCAATACTGTGTTTGCTGCTTCAGGAGATGTAAGTCCAGCACGATTCTGAGTATCGTTTTTATCGTTTACACGTTAACGTAATCCTCCATGATCTAGCCCATTGTGCAGTAATCTGCTCAATCAACTTCATCGTCATTGCAGTTATCCTACCGTCAACACCAAAATGAACATCTTATGTTCCAGACTTATTTCCCGGCTCCCCTTCGCCTTCTATTGTCATGTTGGTTATATGCAACGTCTGGTCTTTTGTGAAGCATGCCAGTCATTTACGTTACCATACAGCTGTGACTGCCGTGATTCATCCCGTCATTTCTGTTTTACTGTTTGGACATGTAGACTAGCACAGCAATTCCATTCCAGCGGCGTCCGTACAATTAGGAAAACTGAAGTTCATACTGATAGAACTGTTGATACGCTTTTGACATGTGCAAAAATGTTGATGAAATTTAGTCGGCCTAACCACTAGTTTTATAGTTTGACGGATTGGCCGGATTCATTTGTTGGGCACACATATGACATATGTGCTCTTGCGATGTGATTACATATGTTGCTGCATGTTTCGTGAACATCTTCATGAAATCAGTCCTTTCATGCTGTATGAGACTAGGCATGAACCTCTGCCTGAAGACGGTACTGTGAGAAGACCACTTACTTTATCGTCTTCGTCCGTTACCGTTTACGGAACTTGACGTATCGTCTACTCTTGCTTAGGACTGAAGCCTTGGCTCAGGGAAATTTCGTGTTATATGGAAAATGTATCGGCATCGCTTACACTTTTCTAAAGGTACATGTATAACGTGTGTTGCTTCCTGCTTGGATGGGGTGTCTCTAGGTGGTGCACCTTCACGTTTGTACTTCTTTAACTGATGCTTACAGTAAAGAGCACTACCCAGTACAGTCACCGCAAAACTCTAACATACAGGAGTCTTTATTGGTCATCATGCATTAGGTGCGAAACATGTAAACGACTCTGTAAGAACACTCAAGCTCCAGCTCGATAGGATGGACATGATTCAGATGATGCATAGGCTAAAGATTACCAAGCTCAGAATAAACATGTAAACCTTACATTTCATATCAATACAAGACAGCGACAACAACAAATTTATCTAGTCAGTACCAATTACAATATAGCTTAACATTTACTTTTACAGGTGGGGCTAGTATGAAGCAGGGTGAACAGTAGCCACGGGACTAGCGTACCTAGGAAACTTTGTTTTAAGACATACTAATACAGGGGAAATAAAGAGTGTTAGCTGGGTTACGTACCTAGGAAAGTTTTTATTCAGACATAGTAAGACAGGTGGAAATAAAGAGTGTTAGCTGGGTTGGTATTACTGAAGCAATCAAAACGGTGGGTATAACCATAGTAGTACGGACACTGGTCACAGGAAGAGCATCATTGGTAAATATAACAGTGAAACTACACTTGGTGCTGGCATAGAAGAAAATATTAGTACTTTCGTGTACTTTGCATACAACCAAGAACAGTGGAGATTGGAAAGGTTTGTATTGCCACGACGACGATCCCGCACAATTCAAGCGCAAAGCGTGGGTACATGAGGGGGCGGGTAGCATATATATATATATATATACGCATACACACCTACAGTGTGTATGTGCATAGTATAGGCATCGTTTAATCACCACACGTCTGACTTCCCCCTTGTCCCAGGCAAAGGACACGTACGCGCCCATCAAGGACTCCGGAATTTCGATGTTTGTTTGATGGTGATGGGCTGTGGTAATTGTCGCTATGTTCATGATCATCGTTGTAGTTTTCTGAAATAGACGGTGCTTGAAAAGCGGGTACAAAGTTCAGCTTCCCGTATACCCGTGGTATACTTCCTGCAGGATGCAAGATGATAGGTCAGGAAACACCGGTTGATCATGTTGGATCTGCAGCAACAACCTTTTCATATTCACTTTCCTGCGATGTGTTAGAATTTAGAAACCCAGCAGCACCAAGTGTTTCAGTGTCCGGGTTCCTTCAAACAAACAACGGTACTCCACTTTGGTACCATTATCGATGGCACAGGCCCCCTGCATGTTGTCTACCAAGTAAACAGGAGAACATGAAGCCTTTCGTGGAGAAACAAGGCGCTGCTTGTTCGGAGTTCTGAGGGTTCCTGTCAATATTTCTTCTGTCTCAGGTACGTTCGTAGGCTTCGTTGGGCCAGTCCATGGAAAGAGGTTTGTGACTTTTGCAGCAGAAACTGACAAGCTACAGCAGCCTGAGCCGTTGTACCATTGCACCATCCACGAGTCGAGGCGGTTAGGTCGCGCAGTCCTTGAGACTTCATCCAGATCAGACCAGAAGTGATGTTGGGCTTGATGAGTTTAGTGTCTATTCTACTGGCGAGTTAATGGCGTGGCTTGGCCACTCCGGTGGCACAGACTCGGCGTTCTCACCTTCGATGTGCTTCGCAGATTGCAGTATGCTAGGTGAGTACTCTCGCCGCCACGGTCACTGCGAATCCGGAACACCAGCAGCTTAATGAGTATAAGCTCGAGTCCGGACTGCTAAGGGCCTACCCACCAAGCTACCGGAGCTTCATACTAGCTTGGCGCTAGCCCGAGCCTCTTAGTTTATTTGGTCCCACGCTTCAATGAATGCCAGCAATTCTTAAACCCTCACCCCGAATGCACGCGCCGGGGCGCAGGCAAGCCACGCATCAGAGCTATGGAGGTGCCGGATCTTTGAACTATTCAGCCTTCACAGCTTTTCTTTTGGGGTTCGGGGGTGTGGGGATCTACAAGTATCTTGGGACCGGTTAGATTCCCGTTGCTCCCAAGTCAAGATCATGACCTTTGCTCTTGACCTATTTAAGGATCAGTCTTTCTTTCTTTCAAACCTTGAATTTTCTTATGCTGCTGTATTCCGTTCTGGCGCCGTTGCTGCCATTGTACTTTGGTCCATATCCGTTGAAAGCATGGGATGCAACAACAACAACAACAACCTTGCGATCAGAGACTAATCTCGAAGACTGCAAGAGCCGAACGAGTGCATGGATTAGGCAGCACAAGATCGAAGCTCCCTAGCCTACTTCGAATCGCATTCCGGGTGCCTACATGCAGAGTTTCTGGATTGTTTATCACGTCCAGGACGTCATCTGATTTTGTCGAGAAGGCATGACAAGAGGTTTCAGCCTCTGGTTCAGAGAGGTGCAAGAAGGTGAGGGACTTTCTGTTAAAGGTGCCCGTACTCTTGAGAAGCCACAGAATATCTCCGAGCCTTTCGGGCATGTTCCGAGGCCGGAGAGCGATTGCACTTCTTCAATACCCTTCACAACAAGTACCACATGAAGGCAGTGACTTGTGGATTGCAAATCCTGCCCAACAGGATTCGGAAATGTGGTGGCTTGCCTGAAGCGCATGAAGGTTGTGATGTGCAGCCTCCACCGTATCTGCAGTGAGCCCTGAACTCCTTCTGCAGGCTGGTGGCAAGAACCTGGAGTGGAATGTTTCCAAGCAGGCCTCGCCCTCGCCTCTCCGATCGCTCGGGATGTCGTAAACGCATCAGAGACACCCTCAAACTCAAAGCTCCAAGTTTCTGTTGCCAGCACTTGCTGTTGGCAACCTGCTCCCCGCCTCTGCCGCCCGCAGACCCACCGAAGTACCAAGAATGAGCTGAACTGGATCTTGTCCAACTACTTCCGCACTGACTCGCATGCCGCCGGCTTGGCTCTGCTCTTGAGGATGTACGGTTTCCAAAACGTTACCGGGACTCAGCAGGTCAGCGCATGTTGGGCATAGGGTCAGTTCTTCCATGTCTTCCTCCCCTCAAGAAGTTTGTCCATCGCGCTCAGGACTGGGACCCAAGCCGAGAGATAGGTCAAGAAACCTGCAGCGTTACTGTCATCGTCGGGATCTTGCCCTTCCTTGAACTCATGTGTATAGCTCTTGTCCAAGCAACTGCAAAGCCATCGAACGACTAAAGAGCTGATGCGAAGATCGCCAAAGAACGTAGAAAAAATTGAGCCAGCAAGCGGGTTCAGGCTTCCCTCAGAAAGACCCCAAGCTGCGCAAATGTCGCTTCGCATTTTTCTGTCCACACTGCTGGAAGCCCGCCTCCACCCTGAACCCCAGTGCGAAAACAGAGCCCTCAAAATAGCACCCTAAACCCTGTAAAATCCTAAACCCTATTCCGCAATCATGCGCCTGCCCAGGCTGTCCTAAAGGGAGCAGGGCACGACTGATGCGACGAAGCGCAAGAAGAAGGTGGCGGATTTAGAAGCTCAGGCTCTATCTATCTGTCTAGCTGTCTATCTATCTATCTATCTATCTATCTATCTGTGTGTATGTGTGTAAAGATATCTTTATCTTACTTATATATCATTATATGTGTGTATGCTTAAATTTGGATATCGTATTCTAATGTGTGATATTAAACCACATTCTATTAATGATATGACATGATATGACATGGTATCAGATTAGGCTAGGTCTACCATATCATAGTATATATTATGCTGTTTTCTTGTGCACGGTCTATTGTCTTCTAATCCGTTCTATTTTACTATAAACCATTATTACATTATACGATGTTATATGTATCTATACATACATACATACATATATATATATATATATATATATATATATATATATATATATAAATATATATATATATATATATATATATATATGCGCACATACATCATATACATGCAAACATATACCGGGTACATATCTGTGTGTACAAATACATATATATATATATATATATATATAGATGTTTTTTTATATGTTCCTTGCATGCCTATGTCTGTAGACACACAAGTATGCACATTATACATGTGTATGTATATGTACATGTACATACGCATGTAATGTTTAGGTATGGATACAGTTGCTCATATGTGTACGCACCTATGTGTGTAGATATTTATGTATACTACACGCATGGAGATAGCTATCTAGCGAGCTGGCTAGATAGACTGACAGGTATGTCTGGAATTTACGTATACTCTACCTTACTCCACAATTCCGTGTCTCAGGATTACGGTGTAGGACTTGTCGATCTAAGGCCAGAGGTTTTTGGACTGCTGTGTTCAGTTTAGATTGTTGTCTCTTGAACCCTGCTGAGATTTAGAGTCTAAAGAGCCCGCCACAAATCCCAAGCCCTGAAGGATTTCAACTCTTTAATCCATGTGTCCACTCTCAAAGCCTTGAGCAAAAGTTCCAAGCTCCAAAACGCTCTGAAAGCGCCGCCGCAAACTCCACACTTCAGAGCGAATGTGATACTGAAGCTCGAACTTCAATTCGCGTCTGGGCCTAGTCCAAAGTCTCACGCTGTTCCAGCCCCTTCAACCAAAAGGAGATGTATATATCGGAAGTAAATATTCTGTATTGTTCTGTACAGCGTGTGTCTGCTTGCATGGTACACTTTACAGCGTACATATTTTCTATTGCAGATTGTATTCCAGAGGTTCTATATCATATGTAATGTACCTTTGCTTCATTATGATGTTTTACACATGATATGAGTTTCTGTTATGCATGTAAGGTTTTCAGGTATGTAGTGAGTACTCAAGATCATGGTATGTTATATGGTAGGCTTTGTTCATGTGCCTTGTTGCATCAAATCGTGCATATCACATATTGCACATTATACACTATTTGTTCAGGTTTTTGGATGTTACTGCAGATTATAAAGCACACGGCTTTGCTCATGTATTATGCAGAACAGTATATGTTGTGGGGGATATGGTAATTAGATATATGTACACATCAATATGTATATATATATACACGTATTATACTATTTAAGAATATATGTTATGTTGCATTATATCATACTGCATTATCTTATACTCTACTATGTGTTCTAACACTGGTATTTGTTGTTGACTATTGTGCTTTCATGTCATGTTATGTCACAGCTTACTGTAATGTAATGTAAATTGCACTATACTTTGTTTTATTCTACTATAGACTATGTTGTAGTCCATTTTGTTGTGTTATTTGTCATCCCGTTTTCATCCCGTACTATCTGAGATTACATCATATTGTATTCGTATGGGGCGGTTTCTTCACCTGTGCATGTGAAGGTGGATGCCTGCGCGGCTGAGAGGACAAGTGGTTCCCTTCGTGGGCCTGAGTGCCCCAAGACAGAATGTTACCGTTGCGACTGCGATCTTTGGTGGCGTGCGAGGGGGACGGTGCGGTCTTGTTTCGACCAATGGGCCCATACCCAAGTCTCACTGCCATCTCATTCATGATGCTCTGAGGCCTGGCAGCATGCAAAGCATGTCTGTGCGGGATGGGCAGGAGCAAAGAAACAAGCGTCAGAAGGATCGCACTCGAACCTCCGAAGTCTGCACCTTGAACCTCAGGGAATCCTTTGTCAAGGATCGGGAGGAGTTGCAAACAACCCTTGCCATTGTCATGGTGTAGCGAGTTTGTGTCTGTGTATTTGTATGTGTGTGTGTGTGTGTATGTGTATGCGCGCGCGCGGGTGTGTGTGTGTGTGCACGCGTGCAAGCCTCATTGCCAAACCAAGCCATCTCGGATGGTTGCGCCAAGGACGACGCTGCATTCAAGGTCGTGCACAAACCTAAGTCGCAAGAAAGTGCCTCTTCTTCCAGAGGAGCGGTACCTGAAGGATCTACTCAGCGCAAAGGCAACTTTTGTAAAGAGTTCCAATTTCACAAGAAAACAAGCATTTTACATAGTCTATGCAAAACCCATGACGCGTTACAGATTAGATGTTCTGCATTACAGGTTGTATGCCATACATATGCGGCATACTATATATTTTATGTGACATTCTAGAAACTGTGTCCAGGTCGAAAGCCTGAAACTGTAGGCCGGCGGTACTAATCCTTGAGGGGGATGTTAAGCTCTCAGACCTGAAGCGCAGATCTCACCTTTCGGGAGGAGAGCATATGGGGTGTAACGGCTAGATGGTGCAAGATCGACGCATAGCAGTTGGAGAAACACCAGCAAGGATGTGGATACGGAGCCCTCTCTGAGCGAGCTTCTAGTGCATGATGTTGCCCGCGGTGCAGCTGGATCCAGCCAGCATAGCCGGCAAGTGTGTTATAGTGTGTTTGTAGGGATGTGAGTCTTCACCGTTATAGAGAAGAACCAGGTCACTCGGGTAGACGCCAGGCTTTCAACTCGTCTTCAAGTCTTAGGGGTCAGCAGGAGGCAACTCAATAGCTTTCCTACAGCTTTGCATTTACCATCTTCGCAAGTGCAGCCCCAAGTTATCTGCAGGGTGAGGCTTCGCCCGGAGTTCGTAGGTGTTCTTAAGTGCATTCTTATTGAGTTTCTGTCTTCATCATGTTCTTCTCTGAGTTTTTCGATGGCCGCACTGCGTCAGTGGACGGATCTGCCTTGAACTGCGCTCTGTCTGCGGGATTGCGTAGATGAAGCGCCGCTTGGCTGCAATTCCTTGAATCAGGTGCCCAAAACCCAACTTGATTCAAGTTGCTCTTTTCTGATGTTCGTCAAGAGCTCTGGACACAGACATCGTAATCTAGGCCGTGCATTTCCCCCACGCTTTCGGATGGTCTGAAAGAGGTTGACTCGTTTGCATTACTGTCAACGGGGCAACAATGCTCTGCTGTTTGGAACCACTTGTTCCTGGGGCTTTTGAGCGAGTTGGGATCGCTTGGGTTTTTGACTTCGGACTTTGTGAGACCTTCCGGTTTTTGTTGGAGGGCCAGGTGGTGTCGGGGTGGGTGATTGGGGGGGGGGGAATGACGACAGCGCAGTTTGGGCCGATGGACAGCACCCCTCCCCCTGCACAAGGCCGCAGTGAGGCATCTGCATGGACGATCGTCGTTATCATTATCATACTGTCAAACTGGTATCATCAACATCATGACAAGAGCTGTTTCTCTTATCAAACAAGCATCCTGATCATCATGCTAGCAGCAAAAACCCTGCGACTGTCAGTATTGCTTGAGTTTCCGTGCGTATGTGCGATACGGCGTCTGGAAGTGCACGTTACTGCGGATATGTGCGATGAATACCAATGAGTTCGGTGCCGGTAAGCAGTTCCCTGATGCTGCAGGGATTTCCTTTTCTGGTACCGTTCCATGCTGTGTTACGTCTATGTCCGACACTTTCCAACCTCTTGTTATCTCATTGAAACACTCGTCCCGGGAGACCCTTCACCGACATGCCACTTGTCACGAGTTAATGGGAGGTAGCTGTCGGTATATCCAGTGATGACAGCCTAAACGCTGTCTTGAATCCGCACCCTGGCCCCGACCGCCGAGGAGGTCAGGTTTGGGCTCGCGGGTTGTGCTTTTCCGGGAATCTGGTGTCGGTGGTATAGGTTCGGGATTCAGAACTTGGGCTTTACGCTTCAGGGAACCCCCAATAATTCAGACGAAAGTGCAAAGGATGTGGTTCCACCAGTGGGATCGCCTAGAGCTCCACGCAAGCACCACGGCAAACTTCAGTCTGTTCAGAAGCAGGTGCTTTTGTGCACCGCTTGGGTCACCTGTGTCTATATATGTCTATGTGTCTGCTGGCCCAGCTGCAGGGTGTTATTTCAAAGTGCTCGGTATCCGCCTGAGGTTCTCCCCGTATGCAATACTCCTGAAAGAAACCCGCGTGGCTTTCCGCCGGAGCTAGTGCGCTACTTTGAAGCGCATACTAGAGTACATTAAAAAGGAAGAGGATGAGCCCAGGCGCTGAGTCGCATCGTCGTAAATGATAATGAAGGATTAGTATGAGGCTTACTGAGCTAGGGTGCTTGCTGTCCCATCGTAGGTAAGAGGATCCCAACCTCTTTT